GGGGGGGGGGGGCGAAATTTGGGCCGATCGAGACAACACCGTCCTAGAGGGTCCGGGGGCATGCCCCCGCAAAATTTTTGTGTTCTAGACGCCCGAAAATAACATTTGAGGCTATCATTTTTTTGACTCTGGACTGCAATCTAGACTTGATGTGAACGTAGCTTTAAAGCTGCATTCACATCTGATCCGAACTGAAATTCGATCTGCATTTCCGATGCACTGAATATCAGCGTCTTACACACACATTTTCTAATCGGTTCGGTAGGCTTTCCGATTCGAAAATTCTGATTTGGATCTTGAGTATATTTCCTGCACAATTAAAATCTTAACGGTACTGGGTTTGGTCTACAGGAGCTTGATCTTCGTACAGGTCATTCCATTAATAAAAAAAAAAATTTTATTGGAGAAAGCGTACCTGTCGTTAGCCATGGATAGCCTAGGTCAATACATAACTCCGGCTATATATAATTGACATAAGATTAAAAAAAAATATTAATGTTATTTATTGTCGTAGTGACACTATATCCATGTTTTAATTATTGTTATTTATTCGTTAACAATATTTTATATATATATTATTTATATTTAAGTTTAATGTATTGTTTATGTATAATTTACTACGTCTGTGTTAAATTAAACATATCTATTAAAATTGTATATTTAAATAATATAGTAATAGTCATAGCCGAGGTCTAGCCTAGCCTAGGTCTAAAAGTAGTGACTAGTGTGTATAGCATAAATTTATGCATAAAAAGTATGAATAAAAAATAACTCAAATTGTGAAAGAATAAAGGAAGAAGGAAGAATAGGAAAGAGATTTGGAGCGGCTGAAATGGTTTCCAAAAATATACAATAATAGTCAATAGGCCTCATTCCATTATTTCATTACGTTTTTGTAAAACTTTTTAGGCACTAATCGTCAGAGGTCTCGGTGCCACAGTCAACAATTTTCATAATTGTTAATTTAGCTAACTGAAATTCGGACAGCATTTCCGATGCGCTGAATACCAGCGTCCCTTACACATATTTTCTAATCGGTTCAGTAGGCCTTCTGATTCGAAAATTCAGATTTGGTGTGAATGCGGTATTAGGGAAAGGTTCATTGTGATGCATGTATAAACTTGTGTAAACGAGAATGTTCATGTGATGTGCAGGTATTCCTGACAAAATTTGTTCTGATCGGTCAGTTGTTGTAAAGTCTGATTGAATCCCGAAAAGGCCCATTCTACGGATGATGCTCATTTACATGTACGATTCTTTCTAGTTTGCTTAACAAGTACAAACACATATTGACTTTGTTTTTATAATTATGCGAGTGGATTTAAATTCAAATGTGAAGAGGATAGAGGCCAACACATTATGATTTATATTATAAGAATAAACATATGTGTCTATTAAAATGGTCTAATTTTCAATGAAAGCTAATAATTAAATACGATATATGCAGGCAGAAATATTAAATCTTTACAATAATAAATGTTAAACGTTGTATAGGCCTGTCACTGCATATACTTATTTAAATTTAAAATTGAATAAACATAAAATGGTAATGCACAAATAAAAAAATTTCCTTCAGAATGTGTAGCTCCAAATTTTGGAATGAACTGTATGCAGACATGTCATTGTGATTCCGGCTGCAATACAACCATTGGATGTTCCAACTCGTCAATATGTTCTTCTGGGTTTACCGGACCCACTTGCTTAGGTGGGTATGAAATGAATATTACATTTCTCTTTGGAGTTTGAATTTGAAAATATTGACAGGACCGGCCCCTGGGGAAAGGCTGTAGCTATAACCAGGGCCGGCGGAACCTTTTTCAAAGGTGTGGGAGGGGCACTAGTAAGATAAATGGTTATATGAATTGTGAGGGAGCCAATTATACAAAAATCTGCATAGACATATTTTCTGCTAAAAAGTCAAGGGACCCGGGCCCCACAGGCCCGGTTCCCGCCGGCCATGATAACTGATAAGCCATTTCGTATTCAGTCTGAAACTTCACATCCCATATCAAAGTCAATAAACATAAATATACATACAAGATGGTTTAGGTCAATTGACATCAGCCATAGGCGTAGATCCCGGGGGGGGGATATATCCCCCCAATATTTGACAAGGGGGTGATGGTCCATTGTATCATACCCCCCCAATATTTTGACTATGTATGGGATAAAATGGAGCTTTACACACTTCAAAAGACTGTCACAGAAATAATTTGCACTGTCTTATGCGCTTACAAAGATTAAAATTAGCATAATGTATTAATGTTGATAACAAAATTATTTTATCTGGTACCAATCTAAGCTCTTCTTTCCTTAGATGTTAGATGTGCTTGCAAAGAGAGCCACATTTCACACTGAAGAGTGTGTACGACATCAGTTATGTTGTCAATTCCAAGGTTATATCGGTTGATGAGAAATTTATTGATTAGGCCTATAATAGTAAATTGCATCAATTTATTTTGCAAAAACAAGGTTTCCAGCTTCAGAGGGGGTCACATCCCCTGTCCGCACAAGGGCACACATTGGCGCTAACACCAGGCGCGTAACATTGGTCTTGGGTCAGAGCGGGTATTTATTAATTTTATTTTTTTAAATTTTTTATTTCAACCGTCTTTAAAGAGGGTAACCCTTCTAGTTTAGCCCAGTAGGTTAACTGATATTCAGGGGCCCTCTTTAATAAAATTAAAGAACAGTACAAACAACATCATTACAACATAATAATAATAAATATAAGCATTTTCATCATGGTTTTATTTATTACAAACATATTCTTTCACCATCTATACACATTGAGGCCCTTCTTTTAGGTTAAAATGATCTATCTTTAATTTGTCTTTTTTGAGTTTGGGACTATTATGTGTTTAAATAACTTAAAAAGGAAAAAACTAAAAAAAGCCCTAAAAAATGCGCGCCAAGCGCGCAAAATATTTTTGTGTTTTTAATTCTAATTTCGTCGGAANNNATATCTGTCTCTTATAGACATCTAGATGTGTATAAGAGACAGTTTGATATGGGCGCCCTTCAGACTTTGAAATGACTTTCGGAAAACTTGAGCAAAAAATCTGGACGTTTGGCAAGGTTTTGAAATGAAGTATTGTAGCGTGAAAGGCAAAAAGCATTTTCGCTTTTATAACAAAGCTTTTACCTCATGATTCTAATTGCATTCTGATACTCTTTCAATTCTTACTTTATCATTCATATAATATATTATTTAATTTTCCATTTTGAAGACTATGTACACACAGCTAGCCCCATACAAGTCCATAACTATTTCATCGTTTTTTTCTCTACATTTTCTTCATATTCCTACTCCTTTTATCCTTTTCATTACTGTTTTTCTTGATCCTTTTGTTTTCATTCTTCTTTCTCGTTTTTCAGTCTTTCATCGTCTTTACCTCTTTTTTTTATCCTTTTGAATATAATAATGAATAATATTAATGATAATATCGACATATATGGCACCATCACAGTAGTCTCTGACTTTTATTTCTTAATTTTTCACTCTCATTTTATCTGCGGTTTATTATTTATACCTAGAATATGAGGCAGATACTCCCTGTCCAATTGGATACTTTGGAGAACAATGTCATAAGAAATGTCACTGTGACAATCAGCAAAACTGCACTAAAACTGATGGTGGATGCGAGAATGGATGCCAGATGGGCTGGGCAGGAGAAGGCTGTCAAATAGGTTTGTAAATCCGTATCATTAATTGACTGTCACGCTTCTTGTATATTTTTAATATTCTAGACTATAGATTAGAGCAGTCACTCCACCGAGTGCAGACCGCCGAGCATGTATGGGCGATTCCATTGTATTCATTTTTGCTCAGGGGTAAGTTCAATGAAGAAAATTGAATTTACGTGATTTTGACCTTGTCCTTTGACCATTTATTCAAAAGTTGATCATCTCTATCTTAGTTTTTGATGTACCATCCTTTAATTTTATGATGATCCATTATTTAGTTTCTGCATAATCCTGCAAAAAGACATAAGACATGGGTGAATACATAACCTCCTTGGCGGAGGTTATAACATTTTCTGATTGGTCAGTCGTTCGTTAAGTTTTATCAAAGTGTATAGAATAGCAAGAGGTCCGTCTGCCAGAGTTTCTTTGAAACAGAATCTTATCCCGAAAAATACTACCACCAACTAGAGGGCACCCTTCAAAAGAATGTGAAAGTCTTTCATATCGAACGCATGCTCAAATTTTGAATTCTGTTTGAATTTTAATAGCACACCCCGTACCTTGTTGAAGTACTCTATGCAAAATCAGGGCAGTCGGACCTCTTGATGAAAAACTCGGAAAGGATCATTGAATTTTATTAAAGAAGTTTTTTTTTATAAAGTTTGAGAGTTGTGAAATAATGCTCGTCGTCTCAGTTTCTAAATTATAATTACGATCTTTCTAAATTTATGTAAAATCTGTATTTCTGAGCATTATGCAGTTTGTTTTATGTAGTTTTTTCCCACTTTTGTTTTAATTGTTATTTGATTTTAGACAGGCGAAAGCTCTTTGAATTACCTTGGTTTTCAAGGGCTATCTGCTCTTTGTTTTCGGTGATATTTTTACTTGAGAGTTCGTGTGTATGTATATGTGTATTTTTATCTGCATATTTTTCCTTTTTATGTATTTGTTTAATTTAAGTTTTTACCTTTTTATTTACTATCGCTCTGATTGTCATTGAGTGCCACCAATCTAAAATTGTACGTTCAAAAAAATAAATATGTAAATACACAAACCACTATATATTATAAATGGAATTAATTCTAGAGAATGTAAACCTGTCTTTAATATTGTTTTAGCTTTACCAGCCCTGTATGACTCACCATGGATTGTGGGTCGTGAGGGTAATAGTGTAACTATCAGCTGGAACAGGTGGATACATGATCACGATTTTGGCCTTGGTCCAGTCGTCAACTATAGAGTCTATCTATGGGACTCATGGCACCCGGCACCTGATATAACACCAGCATTAGTGGGCGTCACAAATAGAACAACGTGGGAAGTGACAGGATTGCAGCCGTCTTCAGAATACTCAGTCGTGGTTCGACCTACCAAAAAAGTGAACAATTTCCTAGTCGGTGGAAAAAACAGTCCTGTGCTTTGGATCCCAGTGTATCGTATGTACAATATTCATATCCTGTTTTAATTTTTCAACTAAGAAATGACATAATAAAATAGTATGGTATTCAGAGAGCTTAACATGATATGACAGGCAGACAGACTTCAATTCAATATCAATCTACTGAAACATTGTAGATATTTAACCTCATTTAATTATGGTTTAACTTAGTTTGTTGTCTACTGGTTACAAGCAGTAGGCTATTTAAAGTAGGACTAGTTGGATACTTGTTAGCTGAAGCAAATGATAATGGATCAAGAAGTTGGGTGCAGTTGTTTTACAGTTGCTCTACATTACTAGGGGTTTAAAACATACTACTGAACTAGAAACTCTGCATGGCTAAATTCTGTCATAAGTAAAAAATCGATGTTTAAATGCTTTTCAATAGTTATTTTAGTGCTTCATTTATTATTGCATATTTAGAACAATGTGAATCGGGGTGGATGAGTTTTGAAAATCAATGCTTTCATGTTGTTGATACAATGATGTCCTGGGATGAAGCTGACACATACTGCAAGAGAAGAAAATCACATTTAGTTCACTTCACTTCCGCCAAAATCAAGCTCTTTGTACTGCACATGCTGGAAGTGCAACAAATCAGTTCAACTAATGTGCTGGTTGGAATGAATGACAAGGATGACGAGGGCGCTTATTTCTGGGATGGATACAATTACGCTGTCAGAACATTTTTTATGGGTACACCAGGTAATAATGAATGATAAATGATCTCTACTCCGAGGAAAATAAAATAAAAAATGCAAATAATGAAGCAAGTTAGAAGTAGTCTGTTGATTACGGTGTCTGAATGTCAAGCAGAAAATCTAGGGTTATTCTACTCTTGCAGATTTTCTAATATTTATCCTTTAAATTTGTATAATAATAGCTTTGCTACCAACAGTCTAGAATTTATCTTTTTATACGTTTTATATTTGAATTTAAAAAAAATATTACATCAGTGTTGAGCTTTTTGATTTAAACAAAGGTATTGTTGTAATGGTTTACTGAATTTCTGATTATCAGATTGGCACTATAATCTGACGGATACACCTGATGCTGATTGTATTGTTGTATATGTTGAGGATGACTTTTCTCTACAGAAAATTGGTTGCAGTGCTACTGACATGGGAATACCGGTCTGTCAACAAAGTAAGTTTTTAAACAAAACCATCTGTAATATGTTGTTTACTTGCTTCCGATCCTTCCACACCAGTATCTGAGACAGACACAGATGAACTAAATTAGTTTCTCAAATTAGGTTGCCAAATAAATTTGTATTGCGAGACCCTAAAAACCAGGCACACTGTGCCCAACGTTCTTTGGCTGAAACGACCGAGAATGACATGACAAACACCACGACATTACACGTGCGCAACGGATCTTTTTTAAATTACGTTGTGCCTTTTAGCGCTGACATGGAACGCAATGAGTATCCGGTTTTGTGTGCACAATTGCGTCAGGAACAGCTATGTAGTGCAACTTCGAGAGTGAAAAGATTGCAGTGACAGAATTTTATGAAAACTAGCCTTTATTGGGATAAATGTATGAAACGATGTTATATTTATTTTTGTAGGCATAAATCCACCCGGAATGATTGCTCATGAAAATTCTTTCTATTACTTTGACACAACACCATTAAACTGGGAAAAAGCAGAATATTTTTGCTCTTATAATGGAGGAACGTTGGTGGTGATTGGCTCAGAGGAGGAGAATGAATTTGTGATGCAGTCATTCCAAGACCTAGACACAGATGTCAGTCAAGTTTCCATAGGCTACCATCATAGAAATATTGAAACTGTGTTTGAATGGTTCGGAACCAATGAATGGAGTGTATATAAAAGTAAGTAATCAATACATTCATGTAATGCAATTCAATGTCAACGTTGAGTGAAATACATAGGAATAATAATAGAAGCTCTACTAATATTATTTCATCTAGATGAATATACTGTATAATTATTTTTTTTCATTTATTTATTTATTTATTTTTATTCATTTATTTTTATGTATTTATTTATTTTTAATTATTATTATTGTTATTATTATTATTAAAAATTATGATGTCCTATATATGTATTTTCTAAACAAAGAGACTGTCATTGTTATTGTTGGTGTAGTTGTTTTTATTGTGTAAACGATCTCATCTACTTTGTGATCTTCGCATTTCGGACAAAGAATAAACTGTTAAACCATGGCAGGCACTCACTGCGGCCGACGACTCCAACTCGGTTTCTTGTGAGCGCTAGCCCTCTGCTGGTTGTAGTTGGTAGTCTGTACTGAAGGAATCGTCATAAATAACGATCTGTGGTGCGCTCGTCGTGGCGCTGCATTCTACATAGAATAGTGTCAGCCGACGACTGCCGCCGCGTAGTAAGAATGTCTGACTTTACACACAATGAGTACCTATCGATTTATGTTGAAGAAACTATGTTATTGTTGTTGTTTTTACTGTTATTGTTGATTGCCGTTATTATTATTTTTATTGTCATTTTGGGCTGGCATATTTTAAACCTTTTCTTAATCTTCATGCTGTTAGATTTCATGGCCTCCAAACCTGATGGTAACGGTTTCTGTGTTGCCCTTTCTGTTGACAATGGAGAATGGTTTGATCTGCCTTGTAATGAACCTGCTGCTTTTGCTTGTGAAATAAGTAAATTCTAAATATTTTTCTTTTATATTTTTTATTTAATATTCATTTTCCTAAACTAAACAGTCCACCTCGACTCTTAGTGAGTTGTTGATTGGTTGAAGAATATATTAAATGTTATGAAATCAAAATAAATATAATACAAATATAGTCTATTACAGTTATGTGAGAAATGTATAAACATACTACCGCCATTTAAAAAGAAATCTCTAAAAATAATAGAACCTTCCATCTTAGTACTCAGTATCGGTAAATCAAGAATTGCCACAAGTGTCTTGCCGAAATGAGCTCTCGTGCTAAACCGGTTAGTTCTTATTGCAAATAATATCTATATTTTATTCAATTTTGGTGGCATATCGTTCAGAATTTTATAAACAACAAAGGCAGAAAATACTAAAGTTCAAGTAATAAAATAAAAAACATTTATAAATTGCTAATTTACTTAACCAGCAACAGGCTCTAATTATTAATATTTAAAAGTATAGCAACCAATTATGTTGGTCCTCCCAAGAAAATCTAAAATGTAATTGTCTTTCCTTAATTTGTATAGACAAAAAGCATACATGTGTACGAATTAAAATTATGAAAGTTTAACCCTTAAACTGCTTCATATGTTATAATAATTTTAGTCTCCCGTAAGCCAGTTGTGTCTGGCGATTATTGAAAGGCTAACACTAAAATAAGAAATGTCTATACTTAGAATTGTACTTTTTTATTTTTGGCTTGTTAAATAAATCTTAGTTTCAAAACAACCTGATGAAACTGTTTTTATTTATTCTATACTACTGGTATTTATCATATTATTTCTTTTTATTTTAGGCTATGTAGAATTTCTACCTGTCAATGTGTCAACATCAGGTAGGTCCGCCAACAACTGTATTTTTCTTTCTTTGTTATCAACTTTAAATTTATGAGTGTTATAAAACCAAGTTGTACCTGTTGGCCACAGATATGTTCGTCAGCATAGGCGGTTTCCCTCTCATTTTTTGGCAACTTTCTATAAAAAATGGCAAGTGTTGCCTTGTCCATTGACACGTTGCATTTTCACCACCTTTGTTTAATCCTGTGTACTTATTTTTGCCTTTTTCCATCCTACTACTGTTTTTCCATATCGGCCTTACAACTCTACCTATTTGCCTTTGTAATGCCTAATAATGTTTTAATATTAGCACCATATTATAAAAGGCCCCTGTTTATTTATATTTAAAACTCAACATCATGCAAATACAAAGGGTTTTCCTGAAGGCCATATTTTTTTATATCTTGTTTAGCGTACCTGCCAATAATGATGATTTTCGAATAAAAATAAAATTTTATTTTTGGCCAATTAGCGCCCCTGTCTCCACAAAAAAATGGAAATTTCAGAAAAAAAAAAGTTGTTGCTGCCTTGAATCTCTAAAAATAAGATATGTATGTTTCTTCCTAATTACTGTATATACATTTAAAGCCTTCAACCATCCCATTACTACACTGTTAACATTCACCAAAACAATTTTTTTTTGTTTTTGACAAAACTTAGCGTACCTGCCGCCTACCAATAATGATGATTTTCGAATAAAAATAAAATTTTATTTTTGGCCAATTAGCGCCCCTGTCCCCAAGAAAAAAAGAAATTTCAGAAAAAAAAGTTTTTGCTGCCTTGAATCTCTAAAAATAAGATATGTATGTTTCTTCCTAATTACTGTATATAAATTTAAAGCCTTCAACCATCCCATTACTACACTGTTAACATTCACCAAAACAATTTTTTTTTTGTTTATGACAAAACTATTTGTTACATAAAAAAAAAATCTTTCTCCTCTGATGATCTTTAAAAAAATAAGTATGGGAAACAAGGTATAAAAATTCTCGCCTAAGCACTAAAACATCTAAATTTTCCTCCACGCTTAACTCTACTGTAACCATGCCCATCTCCAGCACTTATAACCGGTCTTTTCCGCTCTACGATTCATCTCCATACCCATGATCACTCATGGAATACCAGCAACAGAGTTCATGATCAGCAGACGAAATAACATAAGAAAGTGTTTACTTTTCCTTCGATTTTGAATGTTATAGATTTGCCTCGCCTCATAGCTAATCCGCAAATTGAAGAATCGTTTTCTAGAACGTATTTGAGGTGGGATGAGTGGACAGAAGGGGTTGATCAAGGAGAAGGTCCAGTAGACAACTACCGTATCGTCTTGTTCCTGTCCGGTTCCAGTGACGAGTATGCTGTTATTGGGCAAACTACAAATAGCGAGACGTCTTTTGAGACAACGGACTATAATTCGGCAGTGGTGGATAAGCCAAAATTTGGAGTCATGGTAGGAAAAAGGATCAGGCCTTTCCAGATATTATATGGTAAGTTTTGGTTATGCTCTGTCTACACTTTTGTTACAAATTTGTGTGATGTGCCCACATATGGGTATGATGATGTCATATTACACCCAAATTTGGGCATTTTACATTTATTTGACTCATACAATTTGATAGTGTGTACAGAGCTTGAGAATAAAGCTTACGTTAAAGAAAAACTAACTTGTACACTATTGTTTGCTAGAAATAAATAAACTTACTAAAAAAAATATGATAATGTCTAATAATATCAGCAAACCAAAACGCCTCTGAGGTTATTTCCGGGCGTCTATAAAACAAAACCTGTCTCTTATACACATCTAGATGTGTATAAGAGACAGAAATACTAAACCACCTTTATTTGTCATCACCATCTTCAACATTATAAATACAGAAAAAGAAATAGATACAAATGTATGAATGTATATTCTATATGTTTAGTGTATATATTATAGCATACTGTTATAAAAACAATAATCATGTGTTTATATATATTATGTAATACTGATATGCACCTATTGTATACGTATTTGTATAATATGTATATCTGTGTCAGTTTTGCCTGTGTGTTGGTCAATCTCCCCACAGGACACTTTCCCCAATGACATTTTCTTCAAATACTGTAATGTCTTCTTTAAGAATAATATACTTTCTATTCTAATCGTTATTTTATAATTTATTAATATATCTGGTATTATGAACAAGATCACACTTTCTCTATATTTATGTTCCAACTAACATTTTTAACTTTAAATTTATCTTTTATTTTTCACTTTTAATTCATATGCTATTGATATTATCAGTTTCTTATCTTGCAGAATAGTTGGACATACATTCTTGTTGATATCGCCGTCCTGATTGATTGTATAAAATGGCGTCATCTTAATAATTGTACTACAATCTATGAATAATCATAAAATATTTGTTAAATGGGACCTTTCCAGAATGTCAATCAAACTTAACAACTGACCAATCAGAACTGGGCCAGAAATACGCGCGTGTATAAAAGAACACGAACTTCCCAAAATGCATGTGTTTGCGTATGTTTTAACACTGTCGTTTTGTGGTACCTTAGCAATAATATAACGGGGCGGGGCTTATAGGAAAGGTCCATTGTACTACAATCTATGAATATTCATAAAATATATGTTAAATTGAATTCTAGGTAATTTCCACATGGTGTACGGTAGGATTGTTTTTCCAAAAGATTTATGTATGTATTAAAAAGAAGGCCATACGTAATTTTACATTAATGAATCGAGGTTCTGAGTGAGAGGGTCATAGTTACTGTAATGATTTATCATGGTATTGCATTTTAATGGCACACATTCTCATTAATTTGCAAACAAAACACAAGACATACTCTACCTAAAACTGAAAACAAAATGTCTTTACACCATAACATCCATACTTCAAAACCTTTTCCCCACACTACTACCAACTCGACCCCACTACACACCGTACTTACAAATTCGTTTTTTTTTTTCATCCAAGTTCTACATGGACTTCACCATTATGGATACATGGACTTTAAGATGTGCCTAGCTGACCACAGCCTTCATCTCTCATTTGAGAGACCAACTTAGCTTAGTCGGCTTATCTGGTGGTAGCCACTGTGTATGCGCTGAACCGTGAAGATCTCTAGGTCCCCGGTTTAATTCCCTTCCCTGCCTCTCCTTGTGTTTCAGCTAGAGGGCTGAAATACAAGTTACAATAGCGCATCGTCTTTCGGATGAGACGTTTCAGCCGTTAGTGCATTATGGCCCATGGTCATGTTAAAGAACGCAGTACACTCTTCGGAAAAGTGTAGGGGATTGTCTCCCGGTGTACTGCCCAATCACCACCAGAAAAGGACTCCACTGGAAATAAGTCTTTTTCTAGACTTTCGTGGGCTATTCTTAGTTTTTACACCATCTGTATATCAAGAGCATCATTATGCAATAGACATTTTCGGAGTGTCAATTTGAAAAATTCACCAGTCAGAACAGGCCCATGAATTAAATTGCCGTTTTGTTGGACCTTAGCAACAATATCCAAGGGGCGGGGCTTAGCGGAAACGTTTATTAAGTGAAATAATCAATTATTTAATTCTTATTATTCCCTGATTCGATATTTGAAATAAATTGCTTGAGTTATATATATATATATATATTTTGGCGTTTTCTTTGAGAGTGGATGTCATGAATTGTATTGTTGACTTTAACTTTGACATGAAAAGTCGAGAGGTGAGGGCCGTAAGAGCATTCAGGGGCAGATCCAGAGATGTCCAAAAGGAGGGTCCGATCGAGAGACTACACTGCCTCAGGGTGTTCCTGGGCATGCCCCCGGGAATTTTTGTTTTGTAGACGCCCGGAAACCTCTGAGGCAGGGGGATGGTATGGGGCACACCTGTATATCAGTGAATTAGACATGTATTATTGATCTTATTATTGAGTTCCAAAGAACATTTGCCATTAAAAAAGCATTATAAAAAAAATCGTTCAATCGATCGTTATCAGGGGCGGATCCATGGAGCACAGTAGCTATCCCCACCCCCAAATAATATGGAAAAAATGGAGAAGAAGAAATAGTCTAGAAAGAGGAGAGCACGTTATCGTAGGCCTACTCCAAAACAAGCTTATTTTAAATTCCATCAGTCTATCCGTCAGCATCATCGTCAGCATCTTTTCTCCATGGCATAAGCACAGATCATATATACAACATAGGATGTATATAGGATCTGTGGTATATAAGAAGATAACCTTGTAGACCATGGTGGAATATGTTTCCTTTGCAATAAGGATTTGTAATATAGGCACACAGCTCTCTGATTTACCATTTCAACATACATTTCATCTGTGTGGAAAGGACCGCAGAGCGAAGAATACTTGCAGGCGGAGACAGTGGTGTCGCCCGTGGTTGAAGAGGAAATCCCTCCCCTAGTCGGACAGGCCTGAACTTCCCCCACCTCCGTCGTCCAATGCCACGACAAGGTAGTCGGATCAGAAATATTAATTTGCCTGTCCACAACGTTATTTTGATTGCCAATCCTCAATAATTGTGGTCTAAAAGCACAATTTTGGGCCATAACAACTCTCCCCAAAACCATACCAGGAATTTTATTCCGAAATTGTCAGCAAATTTCTGGATCCACCGCTGGCCTGGGAGTCCTAGCAACAACCACTGCCCAGAGTAGGTCTAAGTATTACTGAGTTTAAGCTGAATTTTTCATAATAAAGATGCTCTCTCAGTAATCACTCGGAGGGGAGGTCAAGCGGACGTCGACGAGGATACTGACGAGGAAGATGATGATGTGGAAGATTATAATGGTGACGAGTCGGGGACGATGATGACGACGACAAAAACAAAAATGATGATGACGAGTTGGATATTGTGACTAAAAATTGAGTGATGCCATTATCGATAATAATAGTACCCTTTTCAGTTAATGAATTACGATTGTTATGAGTACAGCAGGGACGTAGCCAGGATTTTTTGAAAGAGGTGAGTCGTTATGCGAGGTACGTATGACCCCGGCGGGATCCAGGGGGGACGAACCCCCCTGTGAAAGAGCGCACTCTGAACGTTTTAAGGACTGTTTTGAGAGGATAAAGTGAAAATTGTATTAGACATATCATAAATTATATTAGTAAGCCCAACAATAATCATAATAAATCAACAGTGGCGGATCCAGGAATTCGAAAGAGAGGTGTCCCAGGGAGGGACTTTCACAGACTGAGAAACCACCCACCTCAGCCCCACCATGGTTGGGGCCGGGCTGAGGTAAGAAAATTTATGATTAGGGCACCTCTAAACGGCCGGAAATTACACTTTCATACTTAAATTTGAATATATTTTCCTCTTTTTTTTCTCAAAAAAAAAAAAAAAAATTCTTATCCAAAATAAAATTAAAAAAAAATGGGCATGAAAAACCAGATCACATCATAAAAACAAATTTATGGACCCTCTCCTCAGCAGTCACAAGACATACTCTGAGCATGGAGGTATTATTGAGAAGGAGATCACTCGGCAACAGATCCCTTTGACGCGACAAACCTATGTGTTCCCCGCTTTTGGATCGCGCGCGGGCGTATTACCCTATAATCACATTTTTTCGTTAGCAACAACTTGGCAACGACATGCATTTATACGCTTCCAGCAGAGCAGTTGTGCAATAAAACGTTTGATTGTTGGAGCTGAGGTGCGAAATTGTGAGGAAATAGCACTTCTAGATGGCCAGAAACGACAATTTTAGTAAAATTCATTATCACATCACCATTAGTCCAAATGAAGCGCCAAAAGAAAAATCTCATGGTCTTTTATCAGGGATTTTCGGCAACCATAAAGATCTTATTAATGTGTGTGATATACCATAGAAAACAAAGGTTAAAAACATTGTCTTTGAGTATGTTCTTTACATATTTCAAAACCGTGATGTCACAACCCCGCCATGGTTGGGGCTGAGGTGAGAAAATTTGAGGAAATAGTACCTCTGGATGGCCAGAAATGACACTTTTACATAGTAAAATTCATCATCATCACATCACCATTACATAGTGAAAATGAAACGCCAACAAATTTCTCATGTACTTTATCAGGGATCTACTTAATATCCAGGAAAAATTGGCATAACTATAATTTACTAAGCTTTAACTATAATATTATCATCAACAAATCACAACTTTATTTTTCGCCTTTAGCACAATTTTCTTCACATAGTAATATTATTAATATTACTATCAATTATCACTATCATCATCATCATCATTATTATTATTATTATTATTATTACTATTATTATTATTACTATTATTATTATTATTATTATTATTATTATTATTATTATTACTACTACTAATAGTATAGTATTATTAAACAAAACTTTAAAGAAGCTTGCAAAATGATAAAAACCAAACTGAACCATACAGTATCACATTTCTGTATCTTAAAAGACTTGGCCTGGGATTAATGGATTTTTTAAAATCACGCTTAGGCATGTGTATTTAGAAGTATTCATTTAGAGTGATCCCAGAAAATAATTTCTATTGGCTCAAAAACAAGCTTTAAAATGTTAACACTGTGTACAAAGGTGGTGGGGAGCCACGGCTCCCCCTGGATACGTCCCTGGGGTACAGTGATACATTACGTAACGTTATAGTGTTCACTTAATGGAAATGATGTAATGCCACTGGCAGGCCTGCTCATAATACAAAATAAACATCGATAGCTATTACAACAAACACCAGTACAAAATTTTACTCTTAATTCATCCTTCTTGACACTAGTTTCCTGTGCGCTTACGTTATTTTACAAAGTAG